AGGTATACTATATTGTCTCTTATTTAATGTTTCTTAAATTTCATTTGTTGGTTCAATGATATCTCGTGTAGGTTGTAACCGAGCCACCATTAAAAAGGTTGAAAACACTACGTTTAGCTTCTACATCAGGGAGTAAGAATGGAACAGAAGGAAGTTCTGCTCTAGCTTACATAGAATGTCTAGAGAAATGTAAATGTGGCAATGATGCTTTACAGCTTCTTGTCCGTATATCTGATACTATAGCTTACATTCCCCCAGAGGAAGTTCCAACAGTTGTAAAAAAGTTATCAGAAAGGTTTGCCATTGAAACAGAAGCTGCAGTTCGAGCTAAAATACTTTGGATATTTGCAGAACTAGGAGAAGTAACACATGATTCTACAGAGAAGACAAGGATTGTCAATGAAACTGCTGAGCTTTTGAGAAATGAAGAATCCCATAGAGTAAAGAGTCAAGGCTTAGCAACTTTGTTAAAATTAGGAGATTTTCATAGGTATTTCATAGCATACATACACACATACATTTATTTTTGTGTTACAATTAAAAAACTGATATTCTTTTAGGAATCTTGTTTTAAAAATTGCTCGTGAACACTTACCAGACACCTGGCATGGTGTGCAAACACGTTGTCTTTCTATCATTGGTAGATACTTGACTGCAAATACTGCAGATGACACATTAATATTTGTTGGCAACTATGCACGTTCTCAGGATCCAAGAGTTCGTGCTCAAGCATTCGAAACAATGGCAGAGCTTCATTCTCATAGGGGATGCAGACTGCCGGCAAGTTTCTTTGGAGAAGCTTGTGCCGCGCTTAGGGATGACTACGAGATCGTTCGACGCGCTGTTTTAAAATTGATATGGCTGTTAGGAAGAGAATATCCTGAGAAGTACTACTTAAATTTAATTTTAATACAAAATTACTCTAAACTTGTATTAATTGAATTGTTTTCCAGCATGATTATGGGTTCAGATGGAGAAGACACACGCATGGTAGACTGTGCATTCTCTCAAATCTGCAGTTTTATGGGCGATTTATCACCAAGAGTCAGAACTTCGGCAATGACGCTTCTAGGCTCAATGAAAGGGGTATCTCAACGACACATAGAGCAAGCATTAGACAAGAAACAAAAAATCGTGGAAGCAGACCGGCCAGAAGTCGAAGAAAAGAGTGGATCTTGCGGTGCATTTATTCACGGTTTGGAAGACGAGTTTTTGGAGGTAGCATACTACTTTTCTATATGTTTACAGGAATTAATATATTCAACTTGTATAATGAATTATTTTCAGGTGCGAACAGCAGCAGTCGAGGCGCTTTGTACACTGTCCTTAGAACAACCGAACATAGCTAGGGTTGCTCTGGACTTTATGGTAGATATGTTCAATGATGAAATTCAAGATGTAAGGTTGAGAGCTATCGAGTCATTAAGGAGAATATCTGCAAGCGTAACGCTTCGTGAGGATCAATTGGAAACGATATTAGGTGCGCTAGAAGATTTCTCAGGTGAGGTACGAGAAGGTCTGCACGCCACTTTAGCTGCCAGCCGGCTAGCTACAAGAAATTGTTTGCATATGTGTGTAAACCGTCTTCTTGAAAACTTAACTCGTTATCCGCAAGATAGAGAGAGTATTAGAAGCTGCTTAGCAGCATTAGGAGCATCGCATCCATATTTGACATTGCCTTTAGTACCCCAGCTTCTTGGTCGACATCCATTCTTTGACACACCGGAACCGGATGTTGATGAACCCTCTTGTATCCTTTTAGTAGCTATGTTTACATAATAAGTCTTCTTCTACATAATAACTATTCTACTACAGTACTATTTTCCTGACAAAATCCGTAACTATAAATAATAGATGCAAGCGTATTGGTGATGATATTTAACGCGGCGTTCCATTGTCCAAGCATGCACGCTCTTTTCACAGAGCACACATCTAAACACTATCATTATTTGCGGGACACAATGCCGCATCTAGTTCCACGATTACGGCCAGCTATAACCAGCGGACCAGGCTTTGAAAGGGATGATAAAACTGATGAGGAGACCGAGCGAGGAAAAGAATTTTTGGAAAAGGTAGTCACAGGCGTCGAAAATGCAAGGCCGAGTGGTAGAGTTCATACTCAGCTCCTAGAAGCTGCAGCCATTGATTTAGATCGTCTGGCAGAAATGGACTATCGTATGGAAGGAGCAGCGCGATTCACCGCTCTTTATATACGTTGTTTGTTGCTTCTAAAATCCGTTTTAAAAGAATTCTCAATGTCGTCTGCAAATTCGATATCAACCAGTCCATTCCCAAACACTACGACCAACATTTCGGTTCTTCTTCGGAATACTCAAAAGTATAAAATATTTCACATTTTTTATCATTACCTATAGAGTGATAGTTTTTTTAACAAATAAAATTTTTAGGCTGCAACGATTGTTCAGTGGACTAGCTGAAATCGATACGATGCTAGCCATTGACTTGTGGCTGAAAGCCTTGGCAGTTGAACTGATACGAGTCACAAGAAGCGTGACTGGAAGAAGTGCTCTTCCACTGACACGATACTTTCTTTCTGAAGCAGACACCCTACCGCAAGATACGTCCAAGTTGCCGACGTTTTCTAGAGCTCTTGTACTTCAAATCCCGACATTGGCTGATGTTAAACCAGGATCATTGACGCGGTTACTATTACCGTTGCTTTTAACACCTGCCGCACAAGGTGAGGAACGATTACCAAGACCATCGGTGTCAACGCGATTCTGCAGAGCCATCATAGAAGAACCTAGAGGCGATGCTGACGCCGCATTGAAATTCACCGGGGGTCTTCTACTAGGCATCCCGTTAACAGCTAAACTGTTGAACTTGAGAGACCCAAGTATACTCCGTGTTAAACTGAGACATCCTGATCAACAAGTCCAGTTATTATTGCCACGACAGTCCGATCTACGGTTACAGAATACGGAACAAAATGACTACAGACTGAAGACCACCGTTCTGTTGTCTCATCAAGTTTGGATGGAAGCGTGCAACGTAGAAATATCTCTTGCACTTCTCGTACCATCGGCGGCACTCGACGATCCGTGTGTCATTGATCTTTGCAAACCGACCAAAGTGTCGATAGCACCAAAACCAGTGAAGAGAGGTATCTAATGATATTTTTATATAACGGTAGAATGTTTTATACAATATTCGTTTCTTGTAAATAAATCCGAAATAAACTAAATCACATTCTATGTTTGTATAATACAATTCTGAAAGATGGTTTTAAAATCATCATCGTTTGCCACGTTACTAATAACAAGACATTATAAATACATGATTTTAATTGATTGGGATGTTGAGATTCTTTCATTAAAAGAATAGTTTGTATGGAAATTTTGACTGTTGTGTTCAACCTAGATATTGATATACTACCGCCAACTCGAGAAAGAGCTTCCACTAAAAAAAAAAAATCACGTTAGTTGGTAAATCATTTATAAATTATAGCTACAACGTTTTAAGGTTTGAAATCGTTATCTAGTTACCCGCTGAACGACGGAGGTCTTTCTGCTTCTGGACTCTTTTGGGCTAAACTACTAAAAGTGAGCCCGCCTGATTGAGTAGCCAAAGATTCAAACGTACTATTACCTCCTACGGTTCCAAAAACTTTAGATACGTTGTTATCTATTGGTGGAGGGCTGCTCATTGGCGGTGGGCTTCCGAAAGCTATTTTAATTCGTATCATTAGTTTTTATAAATAAGAATGTACAGAAAGTAATGATCTAAATTCGTTACCTGGAGGAGATGCAGTAGCTCCAAACGCTACTGCTCCAAATGTATCACCAAAAATTGGCTTCGAGGAACCAAATGATGGTGCTGACCCAAATACTGGCTTGGAACCAAACGCAGGTGCTTGTCCAAAACCGGATTGTGCACCTAGTACAGGTTGTTCCATGCCCATCGAGGAAGTACTACCTCCAAATATATTACCTGTCTGCAAATGTACTGCCTGTCTACATGCGAACTCAGTGTTCTGAGTTCCATCAAATATTAAACCAGATTTTTGAGCGTTATTGTCGAAAAGAGATTTCGGAGGCGTACTAAAGTTGTTCATTGTAGATGCATTTCCTCCAAAGATGGAACCAGAAGGCGACGCTTGAGTGTTTCCACCAAAAATGGAATTAGTGTTACTTCCGCTAAAGATTGAAGTATTCGTTGAAGTAGTTGGCACACCGCCGAATATAGATGTATTCGTAAAACTTCCAAAAGGTATGGAAGCAGGGCTGATAATTGGTTTTCCAAAGGTGTTTGCTGCAGAAGAAACGGTTGGTGTATTTGGAAATTGAGTGTTCATTGCGAGAGCAGATGGTTTCCCAAACGGTGAAGTAACAGAGGTTGTTGTCGCGGTGTCAAAGGTCAATGTAGATGGAGTACTGCTGCTGTTAACGCTGGCAGCATTTGCAGGGGACAAATTTGTGGCAGCCTCTCCAAAAGTGGGTTGTGGTAGAGAAGTTTGAAACGAAGAGGCAGTACTGGATGTTGTTGTAACCGTAGCTGTACTAGTTGTGGGAGTGGTTTTAAAGTCACCAAATATCGACATAGGCATTGTTGTTACAGTTTGACTGCCAAAGCCTGTGCCACTGATTGTAGCAGCAACGGTTGATGTGGTTGGCGTGGTAGAACTCGACATCCCACCAAATATAGAAACATTTGATGTGCCAGATTGATCTCCAAACAATGAAGGAGTAGTAATGGTGGTAGTAGCAGTAGTTGCAGGTACAGCTTCCACAGAACTAGGAAAAGTAGGAGCTTTCGATTCTGCAGAAGCAACTTTTTCAATAGTAACCGAGGGAGCGACTGTAATAGTTTTTGATCTAGGAGTTTCATTCGCCAGACCAATAGACATTTGCCCCAATGACAGGCCCATTTGACAGCCAGGTGTTCCAAATGTAGGTTTATAATTGAACTTTGAATCGGCATTCATATTATTGCTAGATACAGATGTTTGATTGTTGCTCTGCAACCCTGTAAATAAACCAGTTAAATTCAACGAATCTTGTGTCTGAGGCGCTGTTGTTGCTGTCTGTGGTATTTTCAGGCTAAATGAACTTGTAGGAGTTGATGGTTTTGAAGCAAAAGAAAATGTTTGTGCGACCGTTGATTGTGGCATCATAGTTTGCGAAGTGCTCTTAACGATTACAGCTGCAGCATTCGGAGTAGCGAAGCTGAATGTGGCTGCAGCGTCGGTTTTTGTAATTGGCGTCGTTGTCGTTGCAAGCCCAAATTTCAACGAAGTATTCAAATTGATTTCCTGTACTTTTGTCGAGGATGTATCTGTTGACAATACATCTTTCAATGTACCGGTATTAAATAAGTTGCTTTGTACTTTTGTAGGATCACTACTCGATACAATATCTTTGCTAGGTTTGGTACCAGATTCTTTGGGTGTAAATTTTTGTAAAATAGTTTCTTCAGGCTTCTGTCCTGGTGTACCAAACGTGATGGAATCAACTTTAGGGAATGACTTGATCGAACTTGGAACATTAAGAATTAGAGTATTAGCTTGGCTTGATGTAACATTATCGTTTGATTTACTAATTTGATTTGTGGCAAGAGTCACTGGTGGACTTGACTTTTTCTCTGTCTGTAGGGGTTTAGCTCCAGCTGTAACAGGGAAAGCCACAGTATAAGCGGGTTGTTTTGTCTGTGATTTACTTTGCGTTGGTACATTATTGATTTCATTCGTACCGATTCTTGCAACAATGCTATTCAGAGAAGCTAAAGGACTTTGTTGTTTTGGCTTTTCAGTGGTGGTCTGTTTAGCAACCGGAGTTTGTTTCGAGGTAGGTGATTCTATCTTGTTTTTTATCTCAATGGGTGTAGTATTCAGCGATGCCAATGAAGATAGAGTTGCTTCCAAACGATGTTGAATCGGTGACGGATTTACAGGTTTTATAATTCTAGGAGTGGAATTAGATAAATATTCCCTCAGCTTAATTTGCTTGCTTTGAGTAAAACTCAATGTTTTTGATGCGATAGTTTTACAACGTGCTTCTATGATTCCTGCATTTCTTGGAAGAGAAATCGATGATTTTGGCGACGTTATATTTAAATTTGATAATGAACGATTCAATCCAAATATATTGTTATTACGGGTAAGTAATTTCCACTGTTTTTTCAGTTGCTCTACTTTGCTCTTTTCCTGCCGAATGATTTTATTATGCAGAATAAGATTCTGATACACACACTCCAAATGGGGAATTTTCATTCGCGACTTTTCTTGAATTTTATGATCAGACCATTCCAAATCTAAGATCTTACTAGCCTGGTCAAGTTGCGTTTGAGTATAATAATATAGTTTTTGTAGATCAGATATCTTATTGTTGTCTCCACAATTTCTAGTAGTAAAATCCATGCTGGCTGAATTTTTAGATTTGGTTTCCTCGACCCAAGCAAACGATTGCAGCAGCAATGCTTTTAAGTATGCGATATCGCTTGATAAACTGTTCGTCGTATCTCTCAATTCTCTAAGAAATTGATCGACTATATTAGAGGTATCTACAAGTTTTCGGCGTTCCTCTTCTGTGCCGCAATCCCAAGTTTGTAATTCCAATCGGTTGCGCAATTCTTTTTCAAATAAATTATGTTCCTCTATATAAGCGCGAATATCTCTAGTCTCATCCTCAATAGTTGCTTTCTGCTCCTGCACAGGATCTTGTGAACCTGCTTTTTTAACTGGTGCCAATTTAATATCCGGTTTTAGAGGCTCCTGCGAATGGGATTCTTTGGGTGGTTCTACCTTAACTTCCACGTTTGAAGTTTCGACATTTTGCTCCTGTAGTTTTTCAGGTGGGTGCTGTAAAAGAGACATCTTCTCGAAGATATCTCTTGTAGGAGCCGGTTTCTGCCGTTCGGAAACATTTTCCATTTGCTTTGGACGTGGAGTACTTGTTATCACACCATTCATGACAAGGGATGTGTCTGTCAAAATGGGATTGAAATGTTGTTGCGGTGGAGGTAGAACAATTTCTGTAGGTGGAATGTTAATAGAAGGACAATTGGGTGTCAAATTCACCATATGAAAACTACAGAGTTGACCGGACGTTGCCAGAATATGTAGTATAGGAACTGGAATAGGTAAAATAGAATCAGCTCCCCATTGTAATTTTCTGACAGGAGATTTATCTATAGCTAAGCCTACTGGGTAACTCTCCGTAGTATGAACAAACGGCAATTGAGCCCTGCGGCTATCAACTAGTTGCCATTGATACCAAGTGGCACCTCCATCCGTGGATCCCAATACTGCAATTTCACTGCTATTACTACTAGCAGCAATAATTAAACCCCATTCTGGCACATGATCGAAGAAGTAACGTGTTGGCATTCTTTCTCCTTCCGTATATGTTAATCCATATGTGATATCTTCGTAACACGTAAAAGTGGCGTTTGTTTCGCCTTTAGGAGCATCAACTATAAGAACATTGATCCTCTGTTCGCTACCTAAGTAAGCAGCACAGAACTGATAATTGCTGATCCATAAAATGGAAACAACTTCTCCAATGTATGGAGTAGGACCAGGAAACATTCTAGCTACTTTCAAGTCTGGTTTCAATTGTACAATACTTCCATTTTTGCAACCAATAACTATTTGTTTCCCTTTAGGACTCCAAGCTGCGCTCAAGGCATCTAGTCCATTTAATCTTTCTAAAGCTTTCAACTCTATTGACTTCTCATCTTTTATTTGGAAACTACCGATTGTGTAATCACTAGCTACTGTACATAACATTCCTGGGACAGTTGGGTTCCAATGTACATCGTTTGCAAAGACCTCCATGCCCGATGTACTAATCCTGATTTCGTGTAATAAACGTAAATTCTAAAAGTAAAATAATTGCAAAGGTTAGAATATTACTTCATAAAGTTTAGGATACTACGTTTGTCACTTACGGTTTTGCTAAGGGCTTGTACATCGTAAATTAAAACAGACGGTCCTTGTGGTACTACTGCTAAGTAGGAACAATCACAGTTAAGTATTAATTTACAAATAATTACTGTTGTCTCCAGTTCGATTTTCCATTCTGGATCACTGTCTTCTCCAGGTTTTAATACAACGATCTTATTATTTTGACCTACATATAATAAACCCCTCTTCTTGTCTACAGTAACAAGACTGCAGGCAATTGGCACAGTTGTATATGCATCTAAAATTTGGGATATGCACGACTGTTTAAATTGAAATTCCTAAAAAAATAATTATTAAAATAAATTTGTCATAATTACAAAATACATGTATGCATATAAATTTACGGGAATAAAATCAGAATACGAAAAGGCTTATTACATTCCATTTTACATACATTTTATTCATTTAAAGGTTAAAAGACGACGCATTTTATTCATATTAGAATCAAAAATGGTTCTGTTAAGGTTATAATGTATAAAGCTAATATTTACATTTGCACTATTAAAAAATAACATGCGATACCTGTATGTCTTTTGGATCGGGAGCAGTTTTCATGTTTAATTATTTCACTGAAATCTTCATGAAAATATTCAATTGCGTTGAAAAATGAATTCGCCAGACTCGTTCTAGGTTAAACACAAATTAAAAACGGAAGTGTATATTGTACGTTGCACGACAGTTGCACAACCGTAGATTATACATAGATCAAGATTTGAAATCAGCAATTCTCGGTTTTGCCACCAGAGGCACCACCGGTATTCTGGCTTGACGCTTTACTCAGTCAGTAATTGGCGCTACTAGTTTGAGCGTTTGGCCACCAGTACACTCGTCATGATGTTTCCCTGCGTCGGTAATCGACTATCAGTTTCAGCGTATTGCCACGAGCGACGCCATCAATACTCGGTTTGACGCTTTTCTCAGCCGGTAATTGGCTACCAGTTTGACCATTCTGCCGCTACGGAGAACAGCGCTAAATTTAAATTTTATAACGCAATAGATTCTTGCCGACATTTTCATCGTATCTTATGGTTAAAGCGGTACGAGTTATTTGTAGCCACATTGAGCAATCAATGTGGCAAATTATCTTATGCGACCATACGTAAATTCGACGGGTCGTCTCGCGTGCTACGATCAGAGTCAATTTATGGAATAATCCGAAGGCTGTGAGCAATCGCACGTAATACTCGCTTAACATTTATTTACAACATAGATGATGTTTGGTCACGGAACGTTACACATCCGAGGGAAACGATTACGAGCGATCAAGGCTCGGTGGTTTCGGGCTTGGCGTTCGGTTCGAAGTGCTTCTCAAGAAGTTCCCAGCACTTGTTGTAATCGCGGTCGAGTTTGTTGGAGACCGTGGTCGCCCATTCGGTGACCACCAAACTGTAACAAGTCTCGAACATGAAAGCCATGGTCCCGTCGGCGATGCGAACGGGCCCGAGTTCGCGGTTCGAAGCGGTTTCGAAACAGCGCGTATCCGGCCCGTGAGGCGTCATAATCGAATGCAGCGTCGCTCCGCCCGGATGAAAACTTTCCTCTTTGGCTTCGTAGCGTCCCTTCACGAGGCCCATAAACTCGCTCATACAATTTCCTGAGGGTCAAAGTCGTCGGCCGTCAGGGGGTGCTCTCGCTCGCCCAGATGCGCCGATACACGGCCATTCAGCGACGAGGAGAACGGTAAAATAGAAAAGAGAGGTTAGCAGCTGGCGATCGCCGGCGATCACCGACGACCACCGACGATCGCCGACGGCGGAAGGGGACGGGAGATGGAATTGCACGTTCGCCGGCGCAAGAAACGCAAGAATTATCGTCGCGAAAGAAAAAGGAAGTCGATCGATGTAATTGGAGAAAATTTCAAGTTTTCACCGATGTCTCGCGGCACTGCGATTTTTAGAAGCGGTCTAGCATGGCGAGCCGCGGCCGGGCTGGGGGGGGGGGGGGGGCCCCCCNACGCGAATTCGATGAAAACTGCGATCGTTCCGCGAATCAACAGCGACGCGACGAATCAATTCGAACGAACCAATTATTTTTGATTTTCCCTTTTGGCCCGGATCTCGACGACGAAATCCTAGTCGGCGACTTATCGCGCGCCGAAAGACTGTGTCGCGGAACGGAGATCGCCGCCGATTGAAATTTGAACAGGCAAAAGTTCTTGGCGCGACCGATCTCCCGTGTATGTAATCGGCTGCTAAGTTCCCGGACAAGTTCCAGCCCCCCTCTCTACCGCTACTTTTCGTATTCATCATGACTCGACTTATGAAAACTAATTGCTGTCGTTCGCCGGAGGCACTGTGATGCATCGTCCCGGCGAACTCTTCGGAGCCGTGTACTAATTAACTGGCGGGGATGTGGGGGGGGGGGGGGGCGGGGGGGGGGGCGCGGGGGGGGGGGGGGGGGGGGGGGGGGCACTCGCCGGCGAATCGCTCAATTGACAGCGTTACCGCGGTGGAAGAGTAAAGGACGGAACGAACCGAGCGGTTTACTCCGCGCCTCGTTATTTACGTTTCAGCGGGAAAGCGGGAAAGCGGGAAACCGAGAAAGCGGGCAACCGGGCAACCGGCTGGCCGGCTAAGCGAGAAAGTGAAAAAGCACAAAGAAAAGGGAACGGGTGTTTCTGAAATTCGTTTGTTCCGAACGAGACACGGATACACGTTTTCACTTACGATGGTAATAGGGCGGGCGGAAAGTGTGTTGCTGCACGGACCATTGGGGCGGGAAGATGACGAAATCGGCCGCCGCTGTTCCCGTTTTCAACGACGGGCACGTCAGAACGGTGAAGATGGAGGGGTCCTGGAATTGAAAAACGATCCGTCGGTCTCGCCGATCGACTCGGCCAGGAACAATCGCGATACTTACGCAATGATCGAAAGAGACCGAATTAACGGCCATGAATCTGTCGAGATTGTATTTGAACGGCGCGTAATTCCCGTGCCAGGCCACCACGTCGAAGGGACTGTGCCGTTGCTCGGCGACGAACAACTTGCCCTGGAACTTGCCGAGAATCTTGTAACCGGTCTCACGGTCCTCGTATCGGGCAACCGGTGTTTGAAAGTCCCTCGGATTCGCCAGACCGTTCGCTCCTGCCCGGCAAAACGATAGCGACAGGCCGTTTGAAAAAAAAAAAACGATTTCTCGCTCGAGAAGATTCCGCGATTACCTATCGGACCCAGTTCGGGCAGCTGAAAGTGGCCGTCGAACACTTCGAGAATGTATCCCCGGGACGGGCCGAACACCGTCACGTGGAACCGCATGCCCTGCTGGATCACGCATATCTCGTTCGGCTCGCATCGGATCTTGCCGAACTCGGTGGTGATCAGCAATGCGCCCAGTTGCGGCACTGCGACAAACGCACACAACTATGGCTAAAAAGGGGATCGGCGTAGTCAAGAAAATAGGCTACGCAAGGAGTGGGGGGCGGACCACACGTACGCGGCAGTCCTGCGCAGCGGCGTGGCGTGTCTACCGGGTGAACGTTACAATTCTGAACTATGATGACGACGCGGCGATAATTGTTTTAAAACTAGACTAAGTGACGACGACTGAAATGATTTTGTTTTTTAGCACTAGATTTGCGAAACTGGATTGCTAAATGACGGGTCACTAATTCTTTCATTTACAATTATTCGTATCGTAAAGATACATTTATGAGTTATTTATTCAATTTATATGTTGCTTACGGAAAATGTTACCGTAACATTTGTTAAAAATCAGAATAAAAATGTCTTATTGTTATTTTTATAAATTAATATAAGACAGCTGTTTTTTTGTGCTCCGTAAATCTAGTGTTAATTTCGCTGTTACTTGCAAAGACAAAGAAATAGAAATTTGTCGATTTTTAACTTTCTTATCTGAGCCAGTAACGAAAACTTGGCAAATGTCTTTCGTAGATCTCGATAAGTTACGTACACGTTGAAAATTATATCAAAATCGGTTCACGTTGTTACGAATTACAATAATTGCACTTTTATCACGATCTTCATAAAAAACTGAGAAATCTGCAGTTTTGAAAATCTTTCGACGCCTGTATCTCGACTCATTTTTTAAATTTTCATTATAGGCTCAAATAAAAGAATTAAAAACAAGGGTTTTTAATTTCCTCTTTTCATTCCGAGCAATAACAAAATTAAAAAGAAAAGCTTTTCAATCATCGGCAATCTATCATCTAAAAAAAATTCAAGTCATTTAGTTCTGTTTTGAAAAAGTCATTGCGTTTTAAAAGGTGTACGAACGCTTTCGTGGGCCACTGTAGGTGCCGCCCCGTAGACGCGTCACGCCGCTGCGCGGGACTCCCGCGCATGCGTCGTCTGCCCCCACTCCTCGCGTAGCCACTTTTCCTGACCACGCCGAAGAGGATCCTACGAGCGCGATCGCCGGCGCGGCTGCGGTCGGGCCTTCCAGGGCCAGCGCGTACCGATCAGAAAATCGCCGTCGGCGTTGTAGAGCGCCCTGTCGCCCATCGACGCGTTGCAGAGGTACACGTGGATCGCGATCCCTTGTCGCACGCGACAGTCACCGGCGCCGCAAATCGTGCGCAATCCGTCGACGAAGTCGACCTCCGCGGCTTGTCTGCTCGGCACGTCGAACGGCTTCCATCTCAGCTGAAAATCAGAGCTTTCGGAAACCCACTCGACGAAGAGAAACAAACGCTCACTCACCTGATTCGGCGTCGGACGAACGGTGTCCCAGTTGTACTCGAGTCCGGATGGCCCTGCGACGGGGACGAAGGGGTCGTGGACGGCGGACGGTCGGATTCGATAGAACCAGGAACGTTTGTTCGAGGACCGGGGAGCTACGATTATTCATTATATACAGGGTGTCCCATAATTATGATACTTCCGGGAAATGTGGGGTTCCTGAGATCATTTGAAGTAACTTTTTCCTTTACAAAAATGTTCTCCGAGGCATCGTTAACGAGTTATTAAGGAAAAACGCCGGCCAATGAGAGGCGAGCTCGGTTAGCGCGAGGCGGCGCAGCCAACGAGCGCGCAGAGTCCAGTTACGTTCATTGGCTCGGCCGCCACGTGCCAGCTGATCTCGCTTCTCATTGGTCACTGTTTTTCGTTAATAACTCGTAAACGAAACCGCGGATCGCATTTTCGCTAAGGAAAAAGTTGCTTCAAATGACCTCATGAACCCCTCAGTTCCCAGAGTTTCCAATAATTTTAGGACACCCTGTATATTATTTATTATATTAGTCAGGAATGTTATTTATTCGTCAGATTTGATCTCGTCGCCTTCGAGACACGTTCCATCCGGGGCAACGAACGTGCTCCGACGCATCTTTTTTCGGTCTTGAAAATATTTCTCACACAGCGAAGAAGATGCGTTCGACGTCACGCGTTTCGCGAATAGAGTTTCTAGAAATCGGCACAAGAAGTTCCAGAACACAGTCGAGATCGACTGACACGAACAGTCGCTGGTAACGCGATGCGTTGATGGATCGCGATCGAACTCGGCGCTGTTTGTCGGGTTGTTGCGAAAGTAATCTCGGACGTTTTTGTAAGCTGTCTATTTGTACAACCGAAATTACTTTTGCAATAAAGTTTAAAGGACTCCTTTCAGTCTCCGACCTTTCACCCTCAAAATTACCAACACGATCTAATCGAAGTTAACATTTTATTGCGAACGAGTATTCGAATCGAACGTTCGTTGTTCTAGTTTTGTATGCTCGATTATTATTTTCTTATCCATTTATATTGTGCAATAGCTAGCTCTCTATGGCTCGTATGAACAAATAAATAAACAAATAAAAATAAATAACATTACATATATATATATAATAAATAAATAAAAAATAGGTAATAAAATAATAAAATAAGTAAATATACATATAATAAAAATAATAAAAATAAATATAATAATAGTATAATAATACTATATTACAAGCATGGTCAAATAAATAAAAATAAAAAAATAAAAATAAATAATATAAAGTAAAATAATAAAAATATAAATAATATAAAATAAATATAATAAAAATAATAAAAATAAATATAATGATAATATAAAAATAATAATATATAATAAGTATAATAAAATAAAAAGAAAAATAACCGTGGGACTTTAGAATCGGAAATTCCGGGTGCCCCTTTCTTTTTACTTAATGTACTACGAACCGGTAAACGCTGTGCCGGACAATTGCTCGGCGTACAGCCCGTACGGGCATTTTTGGGGGCTGTTTTGGCCGACGGGCAGAGCACCAGGACAGCGGTCGTCCTCGCTGGAGAAGTCGCAACCGAATCCCGAGAGATACTGGAACGAAGGAAACCGTGAATGAACGAGACCCGATCGCCTCGCCTAAGCCGCCTTTACCTTCAGATCGTCCTTCATCTCGCCGCGTTCTATCACGGAGAAATACACGGTTCTTTTCCATCGGGGCTGTCTTTTATACGGGACTGGCAACGCCCGGCAACTTCGATGACACGCGTATACATAATCGCAACGAGATTGTCGTTCGCGCAAAAGGAAAACATGTTTACGTCTTTCGTTCGATCACTGGCCAATCCCGTGGCCATGCTCGCGAGGGCACGGCTAGTTAAAAAGATTCGGTCGACACCCATATCGCTCGAAAGCCGGACATTCCACGTGCTACGCGAGAATTTATGGCCGGCACGATTAATTCACAGGGCGAGCCCCTCGACGCGCGACCGACGCACAGCAGTCGGTTTCCATACGATAAGCGGAAAAATGCCGCTTTTATAAATCCCCGTAATTTATTCACTGGTGGCCAATTAAACATGTCGCTTACTGTTTTTACTTTTTTATCTTTTTTATGTTTATATTATATATTTATGTATTTATATGGCTTCGAAGTAGCCCACCTCCAAATCATCCTAAATTTATAATTATTTTGTTCTTTGAAAATAAATAATTTTTATAAAATTTAACGTCTTAGCATGTACTCAAATTAGGTTCCAGGACGCTTTTTTATCTCTCACGTTTTTTGAGTCACGTCCAATTGAATACGTTGAATTTTCATTTCAGTTTTTAATTATGTGTTCGGTGGAGCTCGGTGCTCGCTTTGATCGCATTTCGAAGAGCAACGCCTTACGTTAATAACGAAATAAAAATTGGCTGCTGGTGGCTAATGTTGGAGAAATCACCTAATAATAATGCCAAAATGGCACGTGCCACGCAGCATACCGTAATAGAAGCATATCAATATTTCAACTGTTCACATTCTATTGAAACTAATGAGAATAATTACAAATTATTTCTTTTCTGGATTATATGCAGATTTTTGCACACGTCCAATCCGTTCGAGTACGAGGAAAAGGACGATCAAGAAATCGAAACCATTTCTCGAAGAAACAATCGGGCAACAATGTTCTATTGATGAGTTTCGGAACAATGTTCGCAACATGAAAATGGAGAAGATGTTCAATTTAATCGAACTGAATTGAGAACAAAAATTGTATTTTTAACACTAGATTTACGGAGCATGAAAAAAACGGCTGTTTTATATTACTTTATAAAAGTAACAATAAGACGTATATTCCGATTTTTAACAAAGTGTTATTATAACATTAGCCGTAAGTAACGTATAATAAATAACTATATAAATAACTAATAACTAACTCTCTCTAACTAAATAAATAACTACTAAATAACTAACTAAATAAATAACTATATAAATAACTAACTATAATAAAAAAAATAACTAAGTAATAAATAATTCGGAAATGTATCTTCACGATATGAATAATATTAAATTAAAAAATTAGCAATCCGTCATTTTGACGGGTTCGGTAAATCCAGTGTTAAAGAATTCGTTCATAAACAATTAAAACACTGCATTTTATTTTAATTATTCCACCGAAATATAAACTCAAATATGTGTTGCCAGTCGTATAAAATGAAAAAAGGTAAGGCTTGAATATATCATTTCAGTTGTTGTATGTATTTTTCCGCTTTTTGTATGGGATCCGACTACTGTGCGACGTTCCGACCTTGCGGCGTCACGCGGCCGCCGCGAGGTGGCCCCGGCCGATTGAAAAACGCGGACGCGTTCCTCGAAGCGAAGCCGCGATCGTCTCCGCTTTTGCGTTTCTATCGGGCTGTGTATCTCCGGACGACGGCGCGACGGAAAAATTATAATCCGGTTTGCGGAGAATTTATGCAAAACCGTGCAGGAGGAGGCTGACAGGCAACTGGCGCGCGCGCGACCGTCTGCTCTACATAGAAACGCCGGAAAACTTGGCGTTTCGCGTCGAGCCGGCGAAAGCGACGAGTTTTCCGTGCCCTGTCGTTCCATTCGATCGCCACGCCTCCGCGACTGGACGTTCGACGGAGATTTGCGAAACGCGAACCTGTTCGCCGAACGAATCGGAAAATTTTGCAACCGGCGCTACGATTAACGGGGGTACATACACGGTGTCCCAAAAATGTCCCGGAAATAGGAGATTCCTGAGGTCGTTTGAAGCAACTTTTTCCTTAGCGATAATGCAATCCGCGGCTTCGTTTACGAGTTATTAACGAAAAACTGTGACCAATCAGAGGCGAGATCAGCTGGCGCGTGGCGGCCGAGCCCATGAACGGAACTGGACTCCGCGCGCTCGTTGGCTGCGCCGCCTCGCGCCTGCCGAGCCCGCCTCTCATTGGTCAGTGTTTTTCGTGAATAACTCGTAAACGAAGCCACGGATTGCATTTTCGCTAAGGAAAAAGTTACTTCAAATGACCTCAGGCACACCCTGTATATACTTGGAGAAGCTGCGCTCGCGAAAACGAAACCACGACGGAGCATCGAGGGGCTCGGGGCTCGATTATTGCGAAGCATTCGCGGAAGCTGATCCTCGCGCAGTGGTCTGGGAATTCGCTTCCTTTGGCTTAAGTTATTTTACCATTGTTTCGAGGTCTAAGGTACTGGTATGGTAGGTCGTTGAATTCGTCTCGACGCCAGCTAGAATATTACCAAATCGAAAATGTATGTTAACGTTTAAAGAATCAAGGTGACCAGCATTTTTTATACAACAAATTTTCTTTGGGAACCTTTCATATTTCAATATTTAGAAAAGTGAATACTGTCCAACTTTTGTTGGAAACATTATTTTGTCAGATCATTGACCAGTTAGCTGTGTTTGACGAGTATACTCGTCACGGAGAAGTGGCGGTATTTTGTGTCACGACGAGTATACTCGTCGCGCGTAAAAAGTAGTGGGCATTGCCTGTTTGTATTGTAATTTTAGTGAAAACAATAGATGTTATAATGTTTATAATGTTTAGAATATTTTGAGGCCAATCCTACAGGCCTTTTAAGGCCGTTTGCATTGTTATAAAAATAAGATTAGAAAAGGATCACGACATTGGTGTTCGAAGCCCAAAGTGCTATTATCTATCGTTCCTTATGTCACTGAATACCACTATACAATAGCAATTTGAATTTTTAGCTTTTATATGTATTTGATTTTTATATGTATTTTTCGTTTTTTATGTATGTTAATGTTAAGCGAATATAAAATAATATATAATAAAATAAAATAAAATAAATACAATAAAATTGTTAATTTTATAAAATAAAACCGTCTTTTGATCCAATATTTTAGCTCTTTGCACTCTGAAGCACCACTAAAATTGTTACATTAAGTTCCAAGATAATTTTTATATTATCAAAGTTTAGATATAAAAAATTGTTAAAAGTCCAACTGTTGTACGAGTCACAAGATTAAATTTCATACGCACAAAATGCACTTTGTCATGTAAAATGGAAATACCATAAGTCAAAAAAATTAATTTAGATTTACAGTTAAAATGGCTTCGAGTGCAAAGGGTTAACAGCGACACTTACTCTGTGTTTGACGAGTAGACTCGTCATCGCTCGATTCTCGCGACACACATAGGTGCGCGCTCTGAAAAGAAGGTGCCATAGCTAATTGGTTAAGGATGGCTGAAATATCGTATTTTGAAATTGGATGCGAGCGCGCAGCGGTCCGAAGCGCGTAATTTGCGGTAATAAATCTGTGATAATAAGTGTGGCAATATAAATTAATTAAATAGTTTCTGTGATCGCGGAATAGATTAAAGAAAATCGTACTCCTACGCGATTAGTTAGGTGATTCGTAGTCTTTTACATTAAAAACGAATCATTTTAACAGATATTTCTGTCTGTAAAAAATGTAAAGATCTCTACTCGAACCATGTAACATTTAATGAGTAAACATATCGCAACGCGTTATAAATCTTCTGAATGAGCGGACCGACAGGTCCGATGTTCCAAGGCCCAAAGCCAAAATCCAGCGTTTACAGCGTTTCTCTGCTCGTCGTTTTTCGAAGATGTCTATCGCGGGTCAAGCCGGCGCGACGTTGAAAACGCCGCGTCGCGGTTTGTTAAAATCCATATAAAATTAGAAAGCGCTGATAATCGCAGCTAGAATTTGTATAATCCTTCTCGCAATACGGTATGCTTTCGTGTGAAACAAATCTGCTCTCTAACATATTCTATCGTCTTTTAAAATCCATTTCAAAGTCTAATATTGCGGTCATCTTCGTATCGTTTTGTGTGTTATTAATTAAAATCTGTCTAAACCGTGATCAAATAAACTAAATTATAGCCACTGTTAAACGTCGTAATATAGAACAAACTGGCATTTGAATGCCGCTAACCGTGTAATTAAATCAAATGCTTCAAGCTTCGATCTCAACATTTTTACTTTGTAACGTTATATTTAATTACAATGAGATTTCTCCATAATTCGCGCTCAGAATCGCGCACAGAAACGGACGATTTTGGAAAAGGAGACACGATTGTTCGAGCCTTGCGTCTCGTAAAAAAACGATAACGATTAGAAAAGACAAAATACATCTTATCGCACGCCATCGCGATCAACGCTAGATTTACGCAGCACAAAAAACAGCAACAATAAGACATTTCTTCGGATTTTTAACAAGTGTTATCGTAACATTTGCCGTAAGTAACATATAAATCGGATAAATAACTCATAAACGTATCTTTACGATGTGAACAATCGTGAATTAAAAAATTAGTGACTCGGCACATCGACCCAGCAAAATTACTGAACAGCAACAATAAGACGTTTCTTCTGATTTTTAACAAGTGTTATCGTAACATTTGCCGTAAGTAACATACAAATCGAATAAATAACTCATAAACGTATCTTTACGATGTGAACAATCGTGAATTAAAAAATTAGTGACTCGGCACATCGACCCAGCAAAATTACTGAACAGCAACAATAAGACGTTTCTTCTGATTTTTAACAAGTGTTATCGTAACATTTGCCGTAAGTAACATATAAATCGAATAAATAACTCATAAACGTATCTTTACGATGTGAACAATCGTGAATTAAAAAATTAGTGACTCGGCACATCGACCCAGCAAAATTACTGAACAGCAACAATAAGACGTTTCTTCGGATTTTTAACAAGTGTTATCGTAACATTTGCCGTAAGTAACATATAAATCGGATAAATAACTCATAAACGTATCTTTACGATGTGAACAATCGTGAATTAAAAAATTAGTGACTCGGCACATCGACCCAGCAAAATTACTGAACAGCAACAATAAGACGTTTCTTCTGATTTTTAACAAGTGTTATCGTAACATTTGCCGTAAGTAACATACAAATCGAATAAATAACTCATAAACGTATCTTTACGATGTGAACAATCGTGAATTAAAAAATTAGTGACTCGGCACATCGACCCAGCAAAATTACTGAACAGCAACAATAAGACGTTTCTTCTGATTTTTAACAAGTGTTATCGTAACATTTGCCGTAAGTAACATATAAATCGGATAAACAACTCATAAATCTATCTTTACGATGTGAACGATCGTAAATTAAAAAACTAGTGACCCCTCATTTTGACGTAGATCTAGTATTAAATCACATCAGGTGATAAATAAAAAACTACTTGCTAGATCGATTTTTCTATCCCTAACCAATTTGTTCAAATTCAACACCGATTCTCAACAATCATAAAAACGAGCTGCAAGCCTCGAATAACTGTGACTCCGCTTCCCAAATCGTCCATTTCTGCGCGCAATCCGAGCACACAATTAGAGCGAAATTACTGTACAGAATTTCCTGATAAAAGTAACATTCCGACCATCAAAGTTTCAAAGGGTTACCAGGACATTTTTCAACATTTTCAATACACCAGGATATTATTTAAACATTTTTTCCATAATTTGGAGTTGCGAAGTCGTTGTTTTGCCGAAAATTACCAGGCCCCGGATCGCCGTGCCCGTCGAAACCGCGCGACGATAAACGAAGAGGGGGGGAGGGGGGAGATAAAGAGGACAAGATATCACGCGGCACACGAGCGATCGCAGCTCGCGATCCCGCCGATGAAATCCTCGGATCGAAGACGATCGCGGCGCGAGAATAGCGTATTGCTCCGCGAATCGTGTTAATTGCGGGTAATTGCCGGTGTTAGGAGGATCCTGCCGCGGTCCGGTCCGCGATACGCCGGTACGCGCGATATCGGAGCGCGTCGAGTTCGTCGGGGAGAAGGAAAATCGGCGGTGGGAGCCGTTTACAGTTAAGCCGGGTTCCATCGAGAAAACGATCTCTCTCTGCGGCGACGGAGCGGACCTTTTTCCTTCCGCACCCTACTTCGCAGAGCGACCGACGGACGTCCGCTCGGGTCGGCGATTCGTCCGCGACGTTTTCGCGGGTCCACGGCCGTTCTCGTCCCCGCGATCGCGTCGGTCCCCGTTGGTCCGTAGAAAAAGGTCGTCGAATCGCGGGCTGCCAGGATGCGCCGGGCATTTTCGATTCGGTCTGCTCGCGATTCCGGTTACGGCTCTCGACACGAATGCTCGCGGAATCGAGTCTAGCGCGTGCTCGGTGAACCTCGGTCGAACGCGTTAGCGGAGAAACGCGAAAACCCGCGAACTCCGACGGATCGGCGGAGCGTCGACGCTCGTGTTCCTCTGTGTTGGTGCTCGCGTAGAACCTAGACGGAGGGGGGGAGGCAGGGAGAGAAAGGAGAGAGAGAGGACAGGTACGTAGTACGGTGAACGGCGAACGGAGAACGGCGAACGGTGAACGGCGCGGCGCGGCGCGGCGGCGGCAAGACGTGGCATGGAACGGTATGGAACGGCACGATTCAAAGATCGGTGGTAACTAGGTAGCTGACGAAGCTCGTACCCCTTCCTCGACGGCAACCTGCAGCCCGGAGCTCGCGAACACCGACCAGTTGGCCGGGCAGGCCGGCTCTCGCTTAGACCAGCCAAGCCCGAATCCGAGAGAGTCTCGGTCCGCCGCTTACCGCGCACGGATCAAGTTCGTTGTCCGACCGGTCTCCGCCGCCGCCGAGTTCGAGTTTTCGGAAAAGTTCGCGGCTTAATTGCGGCCGGCCGCGCGACTGCGCGCCGATAATCCCCGCGGGCACGCGTATAAAAGGCAGTAGGTAACCGAACCGTTATCTCGCGGACGCGGACGCGTACAAGTACGCGCGACGCGGTGCGCGCTCGAGAAACGGTCTCCGATTATCTCGGATCGCTCGATGGAAACCGCCTCGGAATCCGGCCGCGCGACCGTTTCGAAACATTTCGGTGCCGCGAGCCCCGCGAACGGACCGCGTTCGTTCGCCTCCGAATGAACGGAACCGCGTCGAATCGACCGTCCGCGGTACAACCTGCGAGCGCACGGCGTCCCGGTTTTGCATGGGTGTACGCGTAAGTGAACCAGAACGCGTTCGATCCGATTCGATCCGATCCGAACCGATCCGATTCGTTCCGATCCGTTCCGATTATCTCGACCGGTCCAGCAGCGATCGTCGTCCTCCGCGACGCGCTTAACGGTACATCTCTCGCCTCTGGATTCCGCCTCGACTCCGATGCCACCGTCTCGGCCGATGCCGCCGAAACACCGATAAACCGGACGAGGATCCGCCGAGACGCGATCGTCGGCCTCCGAAAGACCGCGTCGCAGCTTGAAGACTCCGGCGAAAGGTAAACGAGCAAAAGGTATTTTCACGGGGGCCCGGTCCCCTTCTGTGTTCCATTTCCGTCGGGAAATGCGCGCGCGAGACGCGCGAAAGCCGAGCTCGAACAAACGAGGCTGCGCGCTCTCGCGACTTCCATATGGATCGACCGTCGTCGCGACGTCGATCCAACCGCTGCCCCGTTTCTCGAGGTACTAACACGCCGATCCGCGGTACGTTCCTCTATATTTCGCGAACGATGGTCGTCGCTCGTGCCCGAGATCGCCAGGGAATCGCGAGAGATCTCTCGTGTTCCGGATAGAAAGCGACCGCCGCGAGACGAATCGATTCGCCGGCCGATCCCGCGAAGACGCCGCAAGAACCGTTCGATGCACCGTCGTCGTTGCAGTAATCGTCCCGTTGCCGTTTCCCCGTGTCGGAGAAAGAAGCGCGTCTCTTTCGTGGGTAACGAGCGAGCCGCGTCGCGCCAATGTCGCCGACAAAATGGCCAGCCGCCGTTCCCGTTCGGAATATTCGGAGAACGCGAGCGACGCTGCGGCCTGCAGTCGCGGCACGCGTTCTATACAGGGTGTCCCGGGTTTTAACGTTCAACGTTTCCCGGTACATCGGCTCGAATGGGTCAGCAACATATTATGCATCGAGCGTGTTTATGGAAGCAGCGAGACGAGAGGAAGTCGAAGGTTTTCAAAGCAATCATCGCTTACTGTTAGAAGCGACGACGATGTTAATTAGTAAATACGTTGATCTATTCGAATATTATTGCACGAGTATTCTGTATGTTTAACTGTTTAATAAAGCTCCGATTGATCTACGTTCACGCAACATATTTTTCTTATTTCGCGGCGTCGGATGTACCGCGAAGTTCGGTCACTAAAATCCGGGACACCCGGTAGACAAGACCGGTAACGCAAAGGCACGGGATGCGTTTTGCAACGCGGCCGCGTATGCCCTCGCAGGACGGGGGACCGATCGCGCAACCGCGTAATCTCGTAATCCCGTAATCGTGTAATCGCGGGATCGCGCAATCGCCGCCGCCGAAAAACGGTGGTCGAGGCGGCACGGTTCGCGGCGGCCCGCCGCGGATCACTCTTCCGGAAGAGCGTGCGAGAGGTATGCGAAACGACCGGAGTCGGGCGTTGATGTTGATGCGATGTTAACGTCGGTGTCGGTGTCGACGGCGAGCGGCCGCGGCGGTGGCGTGCAACGGCGGCATCGCGCCGGATTCCGCGATAATGTTTCCCCCGTGACTGTCGGCTCGTTCCAGTGCTCGCTGCGAGGCTGCGGAATGTTTCAAGAGCCGTTCTTCCTGCACCCGCCGGGCTCCAGGCCTCGCGATGGCATCTACATAAACCCGATGAGCGCGTACATCGGCGAGCCCGCGAAGCCGAAGGACACCTCCGAGTCGTTTTACCTCCACAGCCCGCACGATCTCGTCTACACGAGGATCACGCGGCTATTCTCCGACACGGAGAAGCATCGACACTTCGAGAAGAAGGACGAAACTTTGACTGGTAAGTGGCGCGTCCTACATACATTTCATTCGCCGTTCTCTGACGCGGATACGCGGCGCCGCGACCGGCACAGACGCGGCCCGCGATTTGCCCACCGAAGACTTTGCGCCGCGGTTCTCGCTCGCGGGTAGGGATCGGATCAAGTTCGATTATAATGCGCAGGTAACCGAGTCAATTTCGACGACCAAGTTCCGTTTCATGGATTTCGGTCGCGGACGCGGAAGCGATAATTGTCGCAATCATTGTGGTTGAAGTGCGTTCGTTCGATATCGATTTCGAATCTCGGAGCGAGCACAGTAAATTCTGTTCGATTGTTCCTTAAGTTTTCAACATATTTGGATCATTCGGAAAGAAGGGATACGATTATTCGAGCCTTGTGACTAGTTCTTGTAATTGTTGACGATCGGCGACTATTGACATAAGCCACGAGGCGCGAAAACGGTAATTTTTTTGTAATTCGCGCTCGGATCGCGCACAAAAATGGACAATTTGGGAAGAACAGATACGGAAATTCTCTCCGATTTTTCATCGACTTTTAAACGAAAAGTGAACCATTTTGGAAGAGGAGATACGATCATTCGAGTCTTGTGACTCGATGTTGCAATTGTTGACAATCGGCGACTATAAAAACGTGCCGAGAAAACGGTAATTTCTCCGTAATTCGCGCTCGGATCGCGCACAAAAATGGTCGATTTGCAAAGAACAGATACGTAAATTCTCTCCGATTGTCCTTCGACTTTTAAACAAAAAGTGGACCATTTTGGAAGAGGAGATACGATTATTCGAGCCTTGCTGCTCGTTTTTACAGTTACTAATTATCGAATTATATTTAGTTATGGAAAGAACTTTAGAAATTTTCATTATTCGAACTTTCAATTAGAACTTTGATTTAAGTAAAGAAGGTATAAAATATGTTCTCTCTTTATGGAATGTCTGCGTTAACACGATTCAGCTCGGTAAGAAACAATAACGATTAGGAAAGACAAAATACATTATCGCATCCCTTCGCGATTACATCGTATCAGCTGGTAAATAAAAAACTATTTGCTAGATTGATTTTTGTATTCAACCTATTTGTCGAAATTCAACATCGATCGTCGCAAAGTCTCGAATAATCTTCTCTCCCAAATTCCCCAATTTTGCGCAATCTGAGCGCGAATTAGGGAGAAATTGCAGTAATCGTGTCTCGTCTTCCTAAATTGGGACAATTTAGAAGAATGTACTGTACTTCCGGGTTTCCAAAAGCTGCTCGAAACTACTTTTACATCGCGGAGACTCGAACGTTCCATAAGCGGTACAGTGATGTCTCCCTAACCGACGCTCAGACTGTGCATAAAAATAGACAATTTGGGAAGAGGAGATACGATTATTCGTGCCTTGCATCTCGTTTTCACAGTCGTTAATAATTCGTAATTATAAAAACAAACCGCAAGCCTCGAATAATCGTATCGCCTCTTTCCAAATTGTCTGTACTTTCGTGGACGATTTGAGCGTCAGTTAGAGAGACATCGCTGTACTCTTGAAAATCAGAATTCTGTAACACTTCGCCGAGGCACTCGCAGAGGTTTCGAACCCGCGTCGTAAGAGGTTCGAGCGAGCCTTACAGTCTACTCTATCCCGTCTCCGCTCGCGGTACTAGGAAAATATTGGTCTGCGGTTCGGTTGCAGTGAAAGTGGACGTGCACATCAACAACGGCGATCGACCGACCAGCGGAAATTGTTACGCGGCCAAGTCCGAGACCGTTCGGGAGCCCGTCGAGCACGCGTACGAGCAGATCGGCACGCGGCAAGAATCGGAGCCCGTCGGGTCAGCCGCGGCGGCTAGAAAGAGGCTGCCGGAGATCGCGTCGGACGACAGGTATGCCCGAGAACCCGCCGCGAGCCCTCGAAGGGCTGCGACGTCCTCTCTCAGCCTGAACAATTTCAGCCGTTCCCGTAAAACCGATCGCAGATACAGCCGGTCGAGCAGCGCGAGCGAGTCGTCGAACCTCAGCAGCGAGGTGCCCTGCTTCTCGTCGAGCACCTCGACGCCCTCGCTGTCGCGGAACAGCAGCAACGAGCGCATCGGCGGCAAGACCGGCAAGAACAATCCCGAGGCATCGCAAGGTACGTTTGCAAATCGATCGATCGATCGATCGATCGGCGATCGGACCGGCGTAACGCGTCCGGTCCCTCGGCGTGAAATGTTAACGAGACAGTGTCGGCCGTTTTCAGAGAAAAAAGACCAGGCCGGCTCGCAAGTAGAAAGCGAAAAGGAAGTTAAACCGGCTGGCACCGGAGCTAGGTAAGTGGAACGAGCCGCGATAAACGACTACGACGAAAAATTGGTAAAAACCGGTCTTCTCTCCGGCGGCTGGCTTCGATCCGATTCCATTCCATCCGGTCTATTTCCGAGCCCCGATACCAGAGTCCTCGCGGCTCGCCGTTCGACCGTCGCTCGCCGTTCTTCTCGCTCGAGGAGGCTGACGAGGCGCGCGTGCGCCTGCCCGCCCGCGATCATCTCCATTCGTAACGGGCTGCCGCGTCCAGATATTAGTCAAAATTGAGCTTACGGTACCACTCTCTTCTTGTTCTACGGTTGCGGTTCTTTCCGCAGTATCGCGAAACCGCCGCCTCCGCCGCCGCCGCCCCCGCCCCCGGACAGAGAGGACGTCGTGGTGCTGGTGGTCAACACGAAGCAGCAGGAGGCGATCGGCCGCGACGGGAAGAAGGACGCGGCTTCCGGGGAGCCGAGCCGTGATGCGAAGAGCCCGGAGCAGGGCGTAGCAGGTAAGTCCTCATCTTCCTCCTCCGTTCTTCCCGCGTCGCGAGAGAACAAATCGCTCGAGATACCGGGCGATCGCTCGTGGACCGAGCCGAACGATCGGCTTCACCGAATCGGCGCGTCGGGAACCGTTGGATCGAGAATCGCGCGAGGCGTATCTCCTTTAATTAAAGTCAAACCGTCGCGGTCGCGTCGTTGGATCGCGAAGACGGGCATGGCTTACTAGACCATGGCGCTCATCGGGCATATAATACACTTACCTAGATTTCACTTGCCCGACGCACAACGCGATTCCTTCTCCCCTACCTTCTCCTTCTGTTTCGGAACAGCGACCAACAAGTCCGACGTATCCTGCGGCGAGCATCAACAGCCGGAAGTACCGCCGGCCAGTCCTCCGGCGGACACCGAGGAAATTAAGGCGAGCCAGGCGTCCCATCTGGTCAACAGGCACATGGTGCTGCCGTTCATACCGCCGAAGTTCGCGAACGCGGACTCGAACACGTTGCTCAAGCCGTCCGAGTACCTGAAAAGCATTTGCAAGACGTCAGCGAAGAACTGCCTGTCGAAAGCGAGGTCCGTCCATGGGAACAGAGAGGGAGGGAGAGAGAGAGAGAAGGAGAGAGAGAGAGGTTCGCGGTAGCTAGATCGATCGAACGACCGCGTTCAAGGTGCACCCGTTCGTAGGTCGGTGGACAACCTGGACATACAAGGCCGGGGCACGGACCGGAGGGAAATCGCCGCGATCCGAGACCGGAAGGAGCTCAGCCAGGAGGAGGAGGAGGAGGAGGACGAGGACGAGGAGGGGGAGGAGACCGAGGCCGAGGGAAGACGAGCGGAGCCGGACCAGGAGAAGCAACAGTGTTCGGGACCACCGCCGCCCCCCCTGTCGCCGCTGCAAAAGCTGCGACGGAACGGCGAAGAGGCCGGTGCCGGAGCCGGGACCGGAAGCGGCGCCAACATGGGCACCAGCGCCACCACCGAGGCCGAGCAGCCGATGTCGAAGGCCGCGCAACCGCTCGCCACCATCAGCATCCAGGACCTCACGAGCATCCAACTGCGGAGGACCACCGCGAAGATGAACGCCACCAAAACGTTCTCCGCGCCGCCTCCGCGCAGCGTTTCCATGACGAACGGTAAACATCCTCGCTTGCTTCGTTTCTTTTTTTCTCTGTGAAAAACATCCTGGACGATGTACCTTTCAATTATCACCTTTTAATTCCGTATACGCCGGCGGTGATTTTAAATTTGATTTTTAAAGCAGGTTTACTGCATAGAAATTGCCGACATTTCTCTGATCCGAGCGCTCTCTTAGATCTTTATTGCTCGCTTTCTCGAGCCAATATTGGAATACGCGTTCCCTGTATGGTCTCCTTACACTTTGAACCACAGGCATAAACACACGCCATAAACATATTTATTGCTTTATTGCTACCAAAACCGGGCATTCGATGCACATTTTTGAGCGCGTTTATTGTCCTTTAGCGTCTCGCTTTAACACTGGAACTATGGAAACAGTTAAAGTGATTGGTTTCCGATGATGTTTTTCTTTTACGATTTTTGATATCGTAAGAACGTTTCTGTTAAGAATTTTTCAGATTAACTTCATTTTCGTCGTTTTGTATACTATAATGGAAATCGTACAAAGTTCAAATAATCGAGTCTTGGCATTGTTAGAAATTATTAGGTCGAGTCAGAAATAACTTCCGATGCAGCTAGATGGAATCTATAATTCGTATCTACCCATTATCTACCGGTTTGACAAACAAGTTTTTGCGTTCTTTAAGTAGATAAGAATTCGAAATAAATAAAGTATAAAAGAGGAAATCAAAAATAAATGAAAATAGGCAAGATAAATGTCTGATAAAAAGACGGAAGTTATTTATGACTCGACCTAATAATATACATTCGTCGCGTTTAGAACTCGGTAGTTCTAGTGTATAAATTAACTCTTTAGAGCTAAGAAGAACTGTTGCTGATCTATGCTTTTTAGAGAAAGCGTGAATAATCCATCAGTCACGTCATGTAATTGATTTATTTAAATCAATCGCGTGATGTAATTGGCAGAGGCATTGGCCTCTTCCAGGGTAACAAAACTTCTTTCCCACTTCAGGCCCTTTCTCTTCGCAGATGCTAAAGATAATGATCCCTTTTATCGTACCTGCACACTTGCCAATAATCATAGCGCTACGATTGACCTCTTTATATCAATGTATTGTCTATACGTCGATGATCTCTAATAACATGAATGTAACGCCCCACTTCCAGTTTCAGAAACCTTCTTCGTTCAAAAGACGGACCTGATAGCGGAACTGAAGAAGACCAAGGACATTCCCGGCATCAAGAAATTGAAGGTGGAGATGGCGCAGGTGGAGAAAACGCAGGAGCAGAATCTCATGTCGGAGATCAGCAAAGCGTTCAGCGCCTCCAACTTCGTCGACCAGGTACGCGATCAGAATTCTTAATTCTTTGACGATCGCCTCCAAAAAAAAACCTAAAAAATTTCGTAAAATCAAGGTATTGTAGTATTCAAAGAAATTCAAATCGAAAAGTAGAGGTACATGACATCAATTAATTTTTCAACAGTCTTATCTCTCGGTAATTTAAATGTATATATGAGCCGTTTTTTTTTATTTTGAAAGTGGCATAAGTCACTTTGTTTTTAAGTCGATATATTTAAGGGTTTGCGTTTTAACACGTTTAAAAATATGGATGTTAACTTTCGAGAAGATTTACTTGTATTTGTTATCTCAGTATAAATAATTTCGTATAAACATTAAAAAATCACCACTTTTCATTNGGAAATCAAAAATAAATGAAAATAGGCAAGATAAATGTCTGATAAAAAGACGGAAGTTATTTATGACTCGACCTAATAATATACATTCGTCGCGTTTAGAACTCGGTAGTTCTAGTGTATAAATTAACTCTTTAGAGCTAAGAAGAACTGTTGCTGATCTATGCTTTTTAGAGAAAGCGTGAATAATCCATCAGTCACGTCATGTAATTGATTTATTTAAATCAATCGCGTGATGTAATTGGCAGAGGCATTGGCCTCTTCCAGGGTAACAAAACTTCTTTCCCACTTCAGGCCCTTTCTCTTCGCAGATGCTAAAGATAATGATCCCTTTTATCGTACCTGCACACTTGCCAATAATCATAGCGCTACGATTGACCTCTTTATATCAATGTATTGTCTATACGTCGATGATCTCTAATAACATGAATGTAACGCCCCACTTCCAGTTTCAGAAACCTTCTTCGTTCAAAAGACGGACCTGATAGCGGAACTGAAGAAGACCAAGGACATTCCCGGCATCAAGAAATTGAAGGTGGAGATGGCGCAGGTGGAGAAAACGCAGGAGCAGAATCTCATGTCGGAGATCAGCAAAGCGTTCAGCGCCTCCAACTTCGTCGACCAGGTACGCGATCAGAATTCTTAATTCTTTGACGATCGCCTCCAAAAAAAAACCTAAAAAATTTCGTAAAATCAAGGTATTGTAGTATTCAAAGAAATTCAAATCGAAAAGTAGAGGTACATGACATCAATTAATTTTTCAACAGTCTTATCTCTCGGTAATTTAAATGTATATATGAGCCGTTTTTTTTTATTTTGAAAGTGGCATAAGTCACTTTGTTTTTAAGTCGATATATTTAAGGGTTTGCGTTTTAACACGTTTAAAAATATGGATGTTAACTTTCGAGAAGATTTACTTGTATTTGTTATCTCAGTATAAATAATTTCGTATAAACATTAAAAAATCACCACTTTTCATTACGGTAAAGTAACTTATGCCACTTTCAAAATAAACGGCTCATATATTTGTAAAATATATATATTATATTTATTTTTATTTTATTTATATTATATATTGTTTATATTTATTTATATTTATATTATTATTTTATATTTATTTTATTTTTGTTATTTAAAATACATATATTATTTTTAATATATATATTTAATAAATGAAGAAAAATTTAATAAAAATAAGAAATCACAACGGATTAGCGTAAAAATTAAATTTTAAATAATTCTGTCACCCGTGTATGGGCGTATTGGGCAGTCAAAATGTCAACAGTGTAATTATAGTACACTTTTCTAATAATACAAATAGGATAAATTTGGTTAATAATACAATGATGATATATTTTTTTAGAAAATTGCGCCGATCGAACTTCATATTAGACAGAGTCATAAGTAATGTCCGTTGCAACTAACTAGAATCTATTGTTCGCATTTGCGGAACGACTTTTTGCTTTCATTAAATAGACGAAGCTTCAAAATAAATAAAATAAAAACAAGAAAAGACAAAATAAATGTCTGACAAAGAAACGAATATTATTTAGAACTCGACCTAATAATTCAAATTTCCGTGAAGTCGCGTGAACACGAGACGGCCGTCAGAGTGTCGGCGTTGTTTGCACGAAACTCATTCGTCTTCGAACAGATTCCAGAGAAGGACAGTTCCGGTAACCTGATACCGATATGGAAACGCCAGATGCTGGCCCGAAAGGCCGCGGAACGAGCCAAGAAAGAATTGGAGGAGCAGATCGCCCGGGAAAACGAAGAGAGACGGCAGAAGGCGATTCCTGCGTGGAAGAGGCAGCTGCTCGCCAAGAAGGATACCGAGGAGAAAAAGTGCGTCTCGGGGTTCTATCGTGCTGGCCAATAAGTCGTTGCGTTTTACTACTGTATCGCCATCGGTGAAAAAGTGTGGTAAAAATCGCGACGACTTATTGGCCAATTAACGCAATAATTCGAGCATGGGCCATGCAACCGCTGACATTCCCATCGTTTCAGGCCGCAGCCGACGCCGTCGGTGGCCAAGATGGACGCGTCCCAGAAACGGGACGCCTCGCCGAGTCGACCCGAAGATAAAGTTGAACTGGAGGAGAAGAAGAGCGAAGGGAGCCCGCCGTGCAAAGCCGCGCAGGTGGTCGAGCCAGAGGAAGAAGTCGACACGCAGATCATAATCCCGTGGCGAGCGCAGCTCAGGAAAACCAACAGCAAGCTGAGCATCCTGGACTGATCCGTCCGCCCGAGAGAACCCGAGAGAACCTCGACGTTTCTCGTGTCATTTCGATTTCGGTTGCGAGCGACGCAACATGTACATACAGCCGAGTAAAATTTTTACCCTAAGATTCCGTGACGCGTTTGCTTCCACGAATACAACCAGCGCCCTTCCAAGCCATTCGGCCGAGGGCCCGAGTTTTCCCGATGAAAACCGGCGGGCCTCTTCCGCAGCCACGTGAATGGAATAACGGTTCTCGAAAGACGCGACCAGGAAGTTATTGTTGGCCGGTGGTCTTCGGTTTTCGGGCCCAGAACGGGGCGCACGGGGGTTGTTGGCGGAAGAAACGGGCGGCTGGCTTCTGTCTGCTTGCCTTCGCCGCGTTTCCCATTGGCGAAACCATTGAGAACGAGGGAGCCGGGGCTGCGAAGCGGCCGCCCGTCGTCCGTCTCGCTCGTACCGGGAAGAGCGTTCGCGTCCACGTTCCCATTCGCGTTCGCGTTTACGAATCGTTCGTCGGCGTGACGACGCGGTTCGCGTCGCTCGAGGTAAACGCGCGACAGAGTCAGCGTTCAGTCGGTGTTCCGAGCGAAGAGCAACGCGGAGGTTGCTGCCGTGGGTGCTCGTGGGAGAAGAGGACACGTACGTGCCCCTACGTCGTTGATTACGAGCAAGAACAGGAATAGGAACACCGAGAGGAGCGGTAGTCGCTGGTCGCGATCGACGTGACACTGACGCAATTCGTCGCCGGCCATTGTCGGCGTAGGGTCTGCGTGCATTCGAGGTGGTTTGCTGCCAATCGCCGCGGTTCGAAAACATTTGGCAGGGAGCGGCGCGACGCGCCGTAGATCTCCGATCTACGAAGGAGCGTCCCGTCTAGTTCCGCGGCGTCGCGATTTCGCCGCCTCTCGAAAGCTCCGCGATCCTTGCCCGTCGCGTCGTCTCGGTCTTCACGGCCTATCGGGCCTGACGTTCGGAACCCCGAAACGTACCGGCTGACATTTCGTCCTCGAAACCGTGTGGCCAACGCCGGACACAGCAACCGACCGCCGCAGCTAATCGTAGATCGATCGCAGACCCGTAACCCGCATCGAGGATGGCGATCGGCCGTCGCATACTAGGTAAGGAGAAAGCCCGCTGTCGCAGCTGGAAAGCTGAGAGTTTGGTGTCCGCGAATCGCGATCGTTGTGCTGGCACTGCCGATTCGATGAAATAGCTCGCGGATGGTTCCATAGTCCATCCCGCGGCACGGTCTAGCGAGCACGTCCTCGCCGTCGCGTATAAATAGCGGGCGGAAACGTTCGCGTCAAGTTCTCGGCGAAGGTCGCCTCGTCGAGTTTTCATAGCCGCGCATCGCGGCTACTCGCGGCGCCGGTAGATCCGATTCGCTGCGCGGCCGGCCGCGCGAGTTTCGGCGACGGTCCCAGCGAGCACGAACGGCAGCCTCGAGAACGCCGCGGCCCGATCGGCGAGCAAACAAGCCGAAGCGATTAGGTATCGAGGCCAGGAGGGACACCCGTTGATTCGTTGAAACGCACGCGATACGAACGAGCCGCATAAATATGCATGGGATAACGCGGAGTCTCTCTGCTGCCGCTCCGCCACCCCGTCTCGCGGTGCCAGGCCACGGCGACGGACCTATCACTGTCAAGGACCGATCGCATCGTTGAATCGACGATCATCGTCCACGCACACGATCCCCCGGCGGCGGGTCGTCGCGAACACGCTGTTACGCGACTCTCGTTCCTTCCAGATCGCCTGACGTGCAGACAGGTGCTCAACGTTATGGTGATCCTGGGCTTCATGCTGAATTACATGCTGCGCGTGAACCTGACGATCGCCATCGTGTCGATGGTGATCCCGGATCACAGCAACGCGAGCCACGGCGCCGGCATCAACGCCACCGGTAAATGCTTCGAGTTAGGAAACGAGACCGAGTCGTTGGATCGTGGCGCGACGTCGACGGTCGCTGAGTCCGAGCAGACTCGGTATCCCTGGAACGAGTACGAAATTAATATCGTTCTGGGCAGCTTCTTCTGGGGTTACATCTGCACAGAGCTGCCCGGCGGCAGGCTCGCGGAAACTCTGGGCGCGAGGAGGGTCTTCGGGTACAGTATGCTCTTCTCCAGCGCTATAACCCTCTTGACCCCGGTGTGCGCGACTTACGGTTACGCCGTGATCGCCGCTTTGAGGACGCTTCTCGGATTCCTCCTGGTACGTATCTGGTTCGCCGTGCAAGCACTCGTCCGACACACGCGGCGATTGTAAAGGTTCTGGAAACGACGGATTCGTAGCACAGTGGAACTTCATTTATTCGACGCTGAACCTTCTTTCTTTTTGAATAAAATTTATTAATATGATTAACAAAAATATACTATTACAAATACAGTTTATCACTAGACTCATAATAATACTTAGTAGACATGTTCTGTTGGGTAGTCCCTGCTTAACTTAACAAGCTTAACCTACTGTTCGGTCGTGATTGATGCAATCTTTTACAAGATTGCTTATCGGATGCGTTGTATGTTTAGATCATATTTGGTGTTAAGTTTGGTAGTTATCTTATTTTGTAGGAAAAGTTCTCGACAAAAACCTACTTGCGACAGACGCTGAACCTATCGAGGTTTAAATAACCGGTTTTTAACTTTACGATAGGTGCTACGAACTCTAGATACTTCCTCGTGGGTAATGATTGAATACATTACATTATTCATGCAAGATTTGTAATTAAAGCTTCACCAAACGAGTTCGATCTTTTCGCTGTAACGAGTCGACGCACGCCAGTCGTCATTGCTGCTCGGTAGGTTTGGTGTTCGTTTAATTCGGTTGAATTTATGTATGTATAAACAGCTATAGTTTTGGAACGAGAACTTGGCCGAGAATACAGTATAAATTAGGTAATCACTTTGCGAAGGCGTGTTTTACATTTTAGAACATTCGTCGTCGTTAGGTATATCTTATCGTTGTTGGTATTAATGAATTGAAATTTATACGAACTTGGCGTTAGTTTCATCGACCAGCTCATTTAATCCTCGTAACTTTTCGCTCAAACGAACGGAGCTCGGATTCGAATACAGTAATTTCTCCCTAATTCGCGCTCCGATTTCAACAAATTTCAACAAATTTCAACAAATAGGTTGAATACAAAAATTAGTTTAGCAAGTAGTTTTTTATTTCATGTGACCACCTGATGCGATTTAATCGTGAAGGCATGTGATATTGTATTTTGTCTTTTTTAATCGTTATTGCTTTTTACCGAGTTGAATCGTGTTAACGCAGACATCCCATAAAGAGAGAACATATTTTATAGCTTCTTTAATTAAATCAAAGTTCTAATTGAAAGTTCAAATAGTGAAAAGTTTTAAAGTTATTCTGATAACTAAATATAATTCAATAATCGGTAACTATAAAAACGAGCCGCAAGGCTTGAATAATCCTCCTCTTCCCAAACTGTCCATTTTTATACACAATCTGAGCGCGAAATAGGAAAAAATTACTGTAAAAGGATTTAACCGAACATTTTGCATAGGTGTTCACATAATTGGAACGCATATCGCTCGTTCAGATTAAATAACGCTTAATTCAGGTAATGGGAGTTCAGCAGGAGGTCACTGCATCGGACATTGTCCAAAATTTCGTTCAAATAAATGGAGTTCGGATAAGTGGAGTTCTACTCTATTAGATATCGTTAGATAACTGTTACGAAGAACCTAAAATATCTCGTAAACGTTACAAGGTATGTCGGTTTTGGCTCATGTCTTTTTCTATTTCGGTTCTATAAACGTTATTTTTTGGTTCCAGCTTTCGGTTATGTGTCTCGGTTCCGGCTTTCGGTTATATATTTCGATCACAGATTCTACGTTACGTAATAAATGCAAATGTATTTCTTTGATTTTTTGAAGGCACGAATTTTACACGAGCTTATCACCGAACCTACCGTACCGGTTTCACTTTACATTGCTTTCAGTTATTGATATCACGAAAACACTTTCGCCGTCAAATGATTTTTTTCATTCGAACACAGATTAGAAGAAAAATGGCGAAAGGTCCGAGTAAATTTCCGTTCTTATAAAACAGCACCGCGATTTGAAGTCGAACCGACTCTGAATCAAATATTAATGGCGACTCGGCGTCAGATTGACTCCGCGTAAGTACTGCAAACATTTTTGTACAGAAACATTGCGAACGCAAAAATTCTAGGTACACCTCCGCTATTATTCGGATTGACGTCAATACATCGTCAAAACGAAACGGTGCGTATTTGAGGTCAAGTCGCCATTAGTAATAGGGTGTCTATTCGTCGTCACGTTATCGTTATCACAAGTGATATTAAAACACAGTTGCCACCATTTCAAGGTCAAAAAACAAAAGAAATACATTTACCTGCATTGCTTCGAAAACATGTGCGATATGATCATACTTTGTAACCGATTCCAGGCACTTTCGTCTATCACACAGAACCGAAACCAAAAACCGGTAAATCATAGTTGTAGAAACGATATACAATAAATTATGCCCAATCTTCCTGCAGCTGGTAAACGGAAATGAACGATTTGGAAAGAGCAGATACGATTGTACGAGCCTCGCGGCTCATTTATATAGTCGCTGATTGCCAATAATTATAAAAACGAGATGGCAGGCTCGAATAATCGTATCTCTCCTCATCCTAAATTGTCCATTCTTATTAGGGTGTCCCATAAGTTCTTTCCGCACCGTGCTATAAATGACTCTAACTGGCTGTGTTTATGCAAACACGCAGCTTATAAAATCTTTTCTGCGCCGTTCGCCAGAATTGGCGAATCGACGCGGCGTCGCTTTTCATCAAGACAACGCAAAACCGCATGTTGCGTTGCTTGTAAGACAAAAATTATTGCAGTTTCATTGGGACGTTGTACCTCATTCTCCGTACTCCCCAGACATTGTTCCATCCGATTATTACTCGTTCTTCTCGTTAAAAAATTCTCTCCGTGAAAAACGGTTTAAATTCGTAAGCGAAATAAAAACGCACCTTGATCAATATTTTGCAAATAAGCCTCAAAGACAGTATAATGAGGCCTCCTGGAAGATGGAAGAAGGTAATATCGCGGAACGGTTCGTATATAACTCGATAAATCAGTCTTAAACAACAAATATCGTGTAATCGTTTCGCATCAGAAAAAAGGAAAGAACTTATGGGACACCCTAATATTTACAGGCTGAAGACAAATTTTGGAGAATTTACTGTTCCTTATATCGGTTATGAGATTTTTTCGGTTCTCCGTAACTCGTCCCAGAACTCGAACAGTTATAGAACCATTTTCAACCCCTGAATAACGGTGCTTAATGGTTTTGGAACGCGCAGGGTGCTACCTGGCCTGCGATCCAGCCGATGACTGCCAGATGGATTCCACCAACGGAACGCAGTAAATTCGTCTCGAACATGATGGGTACGGTAGTATATTATCGTAGTACCTGATGGTAAAATGAACGAATTAGAAATATCCATTTCCTTGATATAACCTTGTAATTTTAACGATTTTAAAGAAAGAATCTGAAATCGATCATTTTAACCGGAACAATAGGTTCGGTGCTTGGTACACGGATACGGTACACGTGCATCAGAATACACGGATACTATCCGTAACTTCCAGTACACGTGTATTAACCGTGAAATATTGTACGGATTATTTTAGGACATAACCATGACATAATCTCGTAAGGCTCCGTAGTAAAACGATCAACACGCGCAACTTAAGTTGTTACTTACTGAAACTTATTGCACTTTTGTTAACAAACTGTTATTGTTATAACAATATTATATATATATAATTATATATATAATTATTATTATAACAAAATATTATATATATATAATTATATGTATAATTATTATTATAACAAAATATTATATATATATATAATTATATGTATAATTATTATTATAACAAAAATTATTGTTATTGTGATAACAATAACAGTTTATTAACAAAAGTGCAATAAGCTTCGGTAACGCAACTATTGAATGACGACGACGACAATAACAACGATAACGCCAACGACAACAACGACAACGTACAAGTTTACTGGATCACGGCACTCTTTCACCCTTATAAATTTTCTTCTTCATGACCTTTTTTTCCTACATTATCTTGGCATTCTCTTTCTCTCTCTTTCTCTTGCTTCCTCTTCTCACTTTCTCACTCTATTTTACTCGTTGTTTCATTCTTATTCGTGCCCTCTCCTTTTCTCTCTCCCTCCCTCTCACTCACTCACGCACCATCTTTCGACTGTACAGAGGACTTCGAGGAACCTAAACAATAAACTCAAGTCACTCGAAGCCGCCCAAACACTCTGCAAGCATCTGTCCCGTTCATTCAGTATTTTATGACGCTCGCTCTTGATCATGCCTTTCACACCCGAGGAGTACCCTACATTATTGTAACAGCAGGAACGAAGCGACTTTCACCGGAAAATGTAAATGCGTCAGTTGTTTAATTGATTAACACTCTGACCGTGTTTGAGAACACGGATGTGGATACATGTGTACGCGTGTATCCTGGATTCCCGTTCAAAACCGTGAGTCTCTGAAATAAATTCGTCCACCGCCTATGTCGATTTCAGCGTCGTCGCTCGGCGCAGCGATAACAATGCCGATCTGCGGTTTCCTGATCGCTTCCCTCGGATGGGAATCGGTTTTCTACGTGACCGGCGTGATCGGCCTCGTCTGGAGTATGGCCTGGTTTCTCCTCGTGTTCGATTCTCCGGCTCAACACCCGAGGATCTCCGACGACGAGCGCCGTTACATCGAGGACGCGATCGGATCGTCCGCCGTTGCGAAGGTAACTCTGTTTGAACCGGTAATGTCCGGGGTATCGATCTCTGGATCAGCTGCTTTCCAATATCAATCGTTCTCTTTGGTTATCAGGGTCTCCCCGTTCCATGGAAGTCCATCTTCCTCTCGGCTCCCGTCTGGGCCATCGTGATCACCCACGGGTGCAGCGTGTTCGGCTACTTCACCGTCGTTAACCAGTTACCGACCTACATGAAGTACATCATGAACTTCAACATCAAGCAGGTTGGTTGCGTTTCACCTTCCTCGTCCGTTGCTACGATAAATTCTCCCCAATTGTGCCTCAGGTTCTGAACAAGTCTCCTCCCAAGGAGGAGATATGGTTATCCGATCCTCGCGACTTGTTTTTACAGTTGTTGACGAGGCGAGGCTCGAATAATCGTATCTCCTCCTCCCAAGATGTCCACTTTTGTTTACAAGTCGTGGGATAATTGAAGAGAATTTACTGTACTTTGGAGGAGAAGTTTAACCTTTTAGGCACGACGCGCCACTATAGTGGCTTCCGCGGATGCCATCTCTCAGAACGATGCGCCACTATAGTAGCTTCCGCGGATGCCATCTCTCTGAACGACGCGCCACTATAGTGGCTTCCGCGGATGCCATCTCTCAGAACGATGCGCCACTATAGTAGCTTCCGCGGATGCCATCTCTCTGAACGACGCGCCACTATAGTGGCTTCCGCGGATGCCATCTCTCAGAACGACGCGCCACTATAGTGGCTTCCGCGGATGTCATCTCTCTGAACGACGCGCCACTATAGTGGCTTACTCTAGTAGCTCACTCGGTCATCGTTTGAATCAAATAATCGTCTTCGTATGCATTGTTTCACACTTCTTTTGTCTTCACATCGATTTACAATATACAGACTTATCTTAACAATATAACTAATAACAATATAACTGTATCTTAACGATATACAGACAGAATATACAGACACTCTGTACAGTACATATCAGACTCTGCAGTCCAGAGAAATAGCCTCGCGCAGAATTCAGCCGTACCTAAAAGGATAATGGATCGTTCATTGTTCGTAGAATGGACTGGTCTCCTCGTTACCCTACCTGGGTAAGTACATCTTCGCAGTGACTACGTCGTCGGTGGCCGATCATCTGCTGAAGAAGAAGAAGCTGTCGGTAACGGCCATTCGGAAGATCTTTACCAGCTTCGGTGAGTCGTTGGCATCGATAAATATTGACGCTTTGGAGGCGAGGATTTTTTTTTAAAGCAGTCAGAGGATTTTCTTCAGGAAAGTAGATCGTGCGTCGGTGACTTTAACACTAACCGTACCATTCGTCAAATAACCGGTTATTTTTCTTCCACTATTATTGAAATTATACAGGCACTACCACATTAATATAAAGATAAAACATGTATTAATATAAAACTTGCAGGAAATCTATGTAAATTGAATCTGGCAGTTTTTATAAGACAGTCACTTTTAGTGATCGGTTAGTATTAATAATGACAAAATGAAGAGCATTATTATGCGCATAAACCATATATGCTCTCAACTTCGAAAGCAAGACGTATAATTCTGATGTGTTTAATATGTTGACATATCTTGTAACTGCATCCCCTATTCTCTTCCAGCTCTGATCAGCCCCGGGCTGTTGATGATCGTGCTGGCGAACCGCGGCTGCGATCGGGTCGCGTCCGTCGCGATCTTCACGATCGCTCTGACGATCAACGGCGCCGTGACAGCCGGTTACTTGGGCAACGGGTTGGACATCGCGCCGAACTTCTCCGGGACGATCTTCGGCATAGCGAACACCTTGAGTTCTCTGGGCGGTTACCTGAGCAGCTACATGGTCGGCACGATCACGTACAAGAACCAGACCTACACCCAATGGAGCATCATATTTTGGATCCTGGCGTCGACCTACTGCTGCGGTGCTCTGGTGTTCGCGATCTTCGGCACCGGGGAGTTACAGAAATGGAACAGCCCCAAAGAGAACGCGACAGGTGGACGCAACAACGTCGAAAATGGCCTCGAAGACCTCCAGGAATCTCTGCCGCTCAAGAGCAAACCGATTTCCTAACGGAAGTTCGTCGTCGACGACATTCGTGAACCCCGGTTAAACGACTCTACCGAAGTATTTAGAATTAAAAAAGACGAACGTAAACGCTATCGAGGCTGCCTTCTTTTCGCCCGCGCCGAATCGATGGCTGCAAACTCGTTTATTCCGAAGATGCGGGGGACGTATTGTTCCTGGGGCCAACTCCGATCGCGAGCGGAGAGCGTCTATTTATCTGTACCTGTTTCTTCGACTTTTCATACGAAAACCTTTCTACGATATGTAAGAGTAATTGTAACTTTAAGCATTCGAATAAAGTAGCAATCGAATAAACACTCTGCTTAAAATGCGTAAAAAATGAATAGGTGATTCCAATAAATTGACTTCCAATAAACTAAGAATGTTGGTTATACTAATTCGAACTTATTATAATTATTTCAAAGAGAACAGAACAACCTTGGCTTTTTATATGTTGCAATTGATGCAGACAAGTTCTATTTTGCATGAAGTTCCGCAGTCTGCATGTTCTACATTTCCAACATTTAAAAATCTTGCAACAAGCCTTCGTACATGCGGCCCCGTTAACACAGAATACGTTGCAGAACGTACTTTTGAACAACAATTGCACACAAACGGTAAAAAAACGGAGCAGTTGAAGCGATTCTAAATATGATATATGCACATTCGAATATGCCAGACGATCGAATAACTAAATAACTAATTTACGAGTGAGCATGTGGTAAATTATCAGCAAGAGAAACATCAATTAACATCAACTTAACATAAAATTAACGTTTCAACGCTTCACCTTGTAGATTTAATAATATTGCCCGGGACCGTGTGCCGCGTGACGGAGGAGCAACGCGTGTTGCAGATAGAACGGTGCAACGATGCGACGCGACGCGGCGCGGCGTGGCGCGGCGAGACGCGGGTAGAACGCGGAGCGGCGCGACGCTGGACGTCAGGACGGATCGGAGAACGCGCGTCGCGATGGCGGGCGCTGAGACGCTGTGCGTTGCGATGATGTTCGCCGTGACGCGTGGCGCTGCGGCGCTCCGCCGACGTACCAGGAGACCAGCTTCGACGAGAGATCGCACGAATTCCCGCGCTTTTTTCCCACGCCCCTTTATCAACCAACTCGTTCCTTTCACCTGTGCAAGACGACGACTAGGTTTCGCTCGGAGCCAGTTCCCTTCGAATCTCAATTAGTGTCTCAAACCTCCGAGCCATATCTTCATGTAAAATAATAATTGACTGCATCAGTTGCAAGACGTAACAAACGAAACACGATCTTTTTTCTTCCTTCAATCACTTCGACAAGTTCGAATTAATACATCAACGTTTCTCGTTCCTTTAATAATAAGAAAAATAAGATATATTTTTTTCTTTCATTAGGTGCTTGGAGCTTATAAAATGCGTCTCTTTGCGCTGATATTATAAATCTTTTTCTCTCTTAATATTTATTGTTTTTTTACTTATTCTAATATCACGCATTTCGCACTATATGCGATCTGATACAAAATGTGATCATGTAAAAATATAATTTTATGATCTTATAGTGTATGTTTTCACATTTGGCTTCACCAGGAAGTTTAGCTATTAGTATACTGCGGATTTTGTGCAGTTGCGATAAAAATAAGTTGATAAAGTTTGACTGTACAGAGATTTAACGAATTTAAGATTATCTATGCGGTATTATTAACGACTCATTAATTTAAATTATTAAACAAAGCACGATATTATGTGAATTGTTTCTGCTTGTTGTAATTTACGAAGAAAGATTTTGTTTTGCATAAAATAAAATTAAAAAAATTGTATAAAATAAAATATCCTTGTTTCACGCGCACGCTCGCACACAAGCAAGTCTAATACATGCTTTACTTTATGCAGTGGTCCACAAAAGTGTTCGTACATCGATAAAAAAAATTTCGATAAAATTTTCAATATGCATAGAAGTTAACGAGATCCTACGAAAGAAATTTTTTAAATTTTCGTTATAGGCTCAGTTAAAAGTTAAGTTAAAAAAAATTAAGTTAAAAGTTAAAAAAAAGAGATTTTAATTTTGTTGTCATTCCAAATAATAGCAAAATTAAAAAATAAAGAAACATTTCAGTCATCGTTTTGTAAACTAGTCCCTCTATCATCCAAAAAAAAATTCGAGTCATTTAGATCAGTTTCAAAATAGTTATTGCGTTCTAAAAGGTGTACGAACACTTTTGTGGGACACTGTAGTTACACTTGCATGCTATCAGAAAATACACCGCTCGTACCAAACGTATGCAACAGCAGTGTTTTACTTTAACATTGCCGGCCAGTTGTAAGACGTTAGGCTAAACGTATACATTCACGCGAAGCACCGCTATATACACCAAATGTTCTACATTGCTACATTAATTAGTCCGACATTGCTCCGCAAGACTTGTGCAATTATACGTACAATGTAGTCACAAGTTAATATCCATTATGACATTGCAATGTATTTTCGGCCCGATCCGGACCCTCATTTTCGAATGAACAGCGTTTTAAACTGTCCATCCACGCCCGAGGTGGAACACCGACAAAATGTATACAATACTTACCGGGGTTTTCCCCGGGAAGGAAAGGCAAGAGTAATCAACTGCGGGTGTCGTAAATTACTGAATGAATGGGCCAGATGGTCGCAGAGTGTTTGGGGACTGCGTGGACAGCTTTGAGTAACCTGAGCTTACTGCTTAGGTACCCCGAAGCCTGGCGTATTCAAAAGATAAAGCGCGAGTGAGCGGAAAAGAGCGAGAGAATGGACGAGAGTCAGACTGCGAGCGAGACAGCGCATAAGAAAGAGATTGGTAATAAAACGCAGGTGAGGAGACAAAAGGAATGAGGGAGAAGGATTCTCGAAGGCTGGAATATCCTAACGGAAAAGTCGAGTCATTAGGAGCAGAGCCATGTGCGAGTGAAGTGTGTGCTTTGTTCAAGAGAGGTTGTAGCGTTGTAGAAGCTTGTCGTTTTTGTTAAGAGGCTATTATCGTCACTGTTATTTATATTGCGTGTTATTCGATTTTCCCCACGCTGACTCATAGAATCTTCTGAAATAATCCCTTGTCACAACTTTCACATTACCTTACTAGGGTAAGTGTGGGTTAAGGAATCTGCGGACGCCCCGAATGCCGCAGTATTTTATACAAGTAATGAAATCTAACATTTTATAGCGTGTAACCTTCTAAAAAGGTTTTTTATGTGCTTAATATTGATAATTTATGACACGCAAGCAACAACAATCGCAGTTTTAGTTCATTTATAGACGTTTGATATTCGGACACTTATGTGATTATATGTACAGTTTGGTGATTAATAGTAAACTATTCATTTGAGCGTTATTTTTAGATCAAGTAATCGTTACTTTGATAAAAAGTCGACATACACTGTCACTATCATCTATCCACAAATATTATTTGCTAACACAGTACATATTTGGCACATAGTTTTTTACTATGTACATATATTTTACTATGTTTATTTCACTATGTATATTTTTATTATGTGTATACATTACTACGGTGTGTTTTACTGAACTGCGTACCTTAACCTATACAGTGCAGTTTCTCGATGAGCCGGTGCGAGCACGCTTGATCGTAGCGTGCCTATACCTAATTTGTAAAGTGCTACAGTGAGAATATCTTGATCCTAGGAAGTGTTGCTGTGTGTGTACATTTAAAAGAAAATAGGTTATGTCAATCTTGACGCGCAGTAATCGGAACTTCCGCTGTTTTTGGCTCGCCATAATAGATAAATAATCTCGGCAATATATGCACACGTGTGATTTCTTTACATTTTGCTTTTCAATGAAATTTGTGCTTTCGGAGATGCAATATATTGAGAAAAATAAATATTCAAGTTAAAGAAATAAAATATTATATGTATTATTTGGAATGATAAAAAAATTAAAATCTCTTTTTTTTAACTTTTAACTTAATCTTTTTTTAACTTAACTTTAATTTCATTTAATTTCTTAATAATACATGTAGCTCGAGTTGTCAATTTATTGGCGTAAACAGTCTTATTTTTTCCGCGCACACATCACACACGGGTGACACTAATCTTTAACAAGGTTTCGACATTAATTTTTATCGCGATGTACATTCGAATAAATTGAATGCCACCAAATGCTTTTGATAACATAAAAGAGCGAACTGTGGTAAATGTTGCAAGCCTCGAACACCTCGGCAAAAACAAAACATCCTATCTACTTATCTCATCGTCGTAAATAACCTAGTTTCGATTCCATTTTCAATTAAATGATACAAATATTGTCGACCGATCTCTCCGTTGCTCCAGATAAAAACGTTTCGAATAATCAAAATCGCGTTCCGATTTCGGCGACAGAAATTGTACCGCGTCATTTCCATTTTATCGGCTCCCGCGCGAGCCATCGCACAAACGTTTCTCGTCGCGGAAGATTTAAGAGAAAACGGGGGAACCGCGGAGCGGATTGAAGCGGAGCCGAGCGGCGCGGCGCAGAGGCCAGGAAAAGCACACGGGGGATAACAAAATCGCGTTACGTCCTCGTCGGTGGATGTTGCGTGCGCGCGGGACATCCAGGGAGCATGAGACGGGAGGAAGCTGGCGATTCCAGCGGTCGGAGAACGCGAGAGATCGCGACGAGTCGCGACTGGCGACGATGGTCGACGATGGCCGAGGCTGCCGGCGGCGGGAGTGGGGGAGGCCGGAGGGCGCGCGCGATCAGAAGTTAGGTAGCGGGAAGGTGCGAGAGCCGTGAATAGCCTGGGAATTGGGGGTCGTGGAGTACGGAGTATGCGAGGAATGTAGCACCGAATTCAATCGCTATGTCGATGGGAGCAGGGTCGCAAGAGAGCAGCGGAGCCGAAGTCCGGGACTGTTTGCCGCGCGGGACCGCCCGCTCGATAAACCATCTACCAAGGACGCACGCGATCGAGTCGGTGGTTGCCGAACGCTCGACTTCCTGCCGTCCGATACACTCCTGCTGTGCCGTGATTAACTAAGGTTTAATCAGCTTTACAAGCTAAACTTCTTTTGTCCCGCATGCACATGCATGATAATCCGCGGCTATCGCGTCACGCTGCCCGCCGCTGCGAAGCAGTCGAACGCACATCGGAATATCGGTCGACCGCGCGAAACCGAATCCCGCGATAATGCTACCGCGCCTGAACGACGGAGTACACCTCGCCGGTTCTAGTTCCCTACCTTTGCCGCAGAACATCGCTTCGACGTTCGCGGCATCTCCGCTTGGCGTCGAAGCCTCCTGCAGCCTCATGCTACCTTGGTCGATTCGATCGCGGCGCGTTGGTTCGATGGGGTAACCATCTTCGAGCACTCGAAAACGGGTATCGATAGGCGCGCGGAGAGAGAGCGTTTGCCAGCGGTTCGAATCGACCGCCGCGTA